AAAGAACAATGTGAAGCGTAAGAATAAAAGGAACTCATGCAGATTGAAATCCAGATCAAGTCTTGTTTAACTCAATGGGGGCCTTCAGATGCAGAAGATGCCACGGTAAATATTCCATCTGCTCATGAGCCCACACTGACCCTCTCTGTTCCCGTGGTACCATTTTGAGCTCCTCAAGGGCTTCTTTCTCCCAGTGCTATCCAGTAGAATTCCAGGGCTTAGGCTGAGGATAACTGCAGGACCTCCTACCTGCTGGGGACGGAGTCCTGCCCAGGTGAGGAGAGAATGTTCCGTCCTCCCTTGCACAGCTGCAAGCTCTCCAGCTTGTTTTCTGCATCACAACACTGTCCTGCCCACAGTTCTAACAACGGGATCTGCAGAGACACCCAGAAGGAACACTTTCAAACACTTGAAAGAATGTTGCTGTGTCCTGAAAATTTCAACCGGGATCTTTATTTTTTTTTCTAATTCTTAAAAGATTTTATATATTTACTTGACAGAGAGAGAGCACAGTAGGCAGAACTGTAGGCAGAGGGAGAGGGAGAAGCAGGCTCCCCACCGAGCAGAGAGCCCAATAAGGGGCTCCATCCAGGACACCGGGACCATGACCTGAGCCGAAGGCAGATGCTCAACCGCCTGAGCCACCTGGGCACCGCTCAACCAGGATCTTTACAAATGGAACTCTGCTCGGTAATCTTACGTATTAAAGTGTTCATGACGTGTGGCCTCCGTAACAATTTTTAAATAATCTTCCTGTCTCTGGCAATGTATAAAGTACTATGAGTTGTCTTGGCTAAGCAGAAGACTTCAGTGTATTAAGTACAAGTGCTCAAAACGGACCGAAGCCCCTTTCAGCCTTAATTACCCCATCCCGACAACCACTGTATGAGGCAGTGATTTAGGGTCCCAGACCCAGTTCCAGGATCTGCGGGGTTGCCCCACACGCATCACCAAGCAGGGTGTGCAAGACTTCCACTCAGTTCTGACATCTCTACCCAAAGGTAGCCCAGATCCCACTTGTTAAGGATTCAGACCCACGGAGACTGTCCTCCCCCTTCAGCCCCGGCAGTCAGATGTCAGTCCTAAGCCGCTGCTGTTCTATGTGCTTCTGACCGATCCCAGGCAGATTGGGGGATCCAACCACTTCCTGCTTGGGTTCGATTATTGTGCTAGAACCACTCACACAACTTGAGGAAGGACGTCTTTATAGTTACCAGTTTAACAAAGGATATAAAAGAGGATACAAATCCAGAGCCAGAGGAAGAGGTACAGAGGGCAAGGTACAGGAAAGGTGACAGGTCACAGGCCCCCAGCCCTCTCAGGCTCGCCACTCTCCCGAGTCTCCATATGTTTACCAGCCTGCAAGGGCTCTGAACCCAGTTCTTTAGGGTTTTTATGGAGGCTTCATTGCATCAGGGATTACTTCAATCATTGGCCATTGGAGATTGATTCAACCCTCCAGTCCCTGACCTGTCCTTGGAGTCAGGAGGAGGAAGTGAAAGGTCCCTCTACTCACATGGTTGGGCCTCCTGGCAATCAGCCCCCATCCTTAGGTGAGGTCCAAAAGTCACCTCTGAACATAACTAAAGACACTTTTGTCCCTGTCAACACTGAGGAAATTCCAAGGGTGTGGGAGGCAGTCACTGTGAAAGACCAAATATACATGAGGCATATTTTCATCATTTGGATGACCAAATTTCTCTCTTATACATGCGAATCTCGCAGGTAGGTAACATTATTCTTCTCATTTGAAAGTCATGAAATTGTTGATCATTCTTTCTGCTGGCCCTCTGAGTCTGGGCTCGAGGCCTCCCATCCTCACTTGATCACGGTACCCTGTGGGGCGTCTTTTCTAACTTTGGTTTCTGGCCCTTCACAGGATGGTGTTCTTCTCATCCACTTAAATTCATTGTAACAGAGAAAAGGGAGGTCTCCGAGGCCTCTCCACGGCCTGGTCACACGGGGCTATTAGAGGAGGGGGACCGTCTCACGTCTTCTGTAAACCAGGTCATTTCTGGGAGGGAAAGGGCTTCTCACTACTAACAAAGTTGGCACAATAGGCCCCAACGGACACAGTCTCTGGAATCTGGGACACAGCGACTCACGGGAGACTTCGGGAGATCTCTTCAAGGCCTGGAGATGTGATACCACCATGCCAACATCTTTCTTTGGCAGGAGACACAAGGGAAATAGCTGCCTGTCCCTACTGTTTCTTGTTCTAAGCTTGGCCCTCAGGGAGCTGAGTGTCCCTTCCAGAAAGAGAGACTACGTGACAGAACAAAGGAAGAGACCATGCCTTGCTTGCCCGAGTCCCTGTGAGGAGTTCCTCGTGGGTCTGGAAAGTATCCTCGCGCTCTCTCTGTAATGTTTCTATCAAGGAAGGGAATGACTGGAATGCTGTCTGAAAGTGGGGAGGGCTTTCCAGCACGGAATGGCCCCAAGGGAGTAAAAGAATGGTCCCAGGCTGGGATCCCTGGCCCAGGATTTCTGCCCTGGGGAGCCTGGGAGGACGGGTATGGGCATCACATGGCCTCCTCTGGGAAGCAGCCCCCAAGCTCCCTGTCCCCACTGGCTCTGGAGGGTTGACACCTGCCCTTCTCCCCACATGTCTACTCCTAGGACCAAGGGAGCCAAAGCAGCTCAGGGTCCCAGACTGGGCAGACCTCAGTGACCCCACCTTTCCCCCGGAATGATCTGTGTGGGGAATGTCCAAACGGTGCTCAGCATGGCCCTGGATAAGAACCACAGGGACAGAGGGATCCGTTGACAGTTGTCTGCCCTACACCTCTCATCTCATGGGACCTACAGGAATTCAAATAAGACCCAGACCCAGAAAGAGGCATCCCTCCTAGTGCTGGCAGGCTCCAACCGAAGACAATGATTCCCTCCTACTAGTGGAATCCTTGCCTGATTGGCTTCCTCCTGGGTCAGCCTCCCCTTTGCAATGTCCTACCCATAACTCCTGTAGTCTTGTAACAAACCAGGAGTCCGCCTCCTGCTTCTGCTCTGGGTTCCTGGAGGAGCACGAGTCCCACCTCCTTCCGGGCTACTACTTAGCTTCTTCCAACCTCTGGGCTGTCCAGTCTCCATGATTTGCTTGCATCAGCCCTGGTGGTACTTGTCTTGTATCTGAAAGGCCTGCTCATTTTTCTTGTCTCCAGGATGCACCCCAGGCAACACCCCTGAGCCAGCACTCCCTGGGCTGGGCCTTCCTGGCCCTCCTTCCTTCGGCTTCCAGCCCCGGGCCACACTGTGACAAGGACCAGGTCCGTCCTCTGGACCCCCCATCATTGCTACCACATCACACATGCACCATCCTCTCTTCTCCAGGGAAATCCGATGACCTCTAAACGTCCCTTTTCACAAACAGGGGCAGGGAAGGGGTAGGTGAGTGGACGAGGGTCTCCATCCCGCCGATACCGCCTGCATGCAATTTCTTCCCACCGCAACCCTCCTAAACTCACATAGTAAAGTCAGGTCCTGCTTTTCCAGCTGAAACATCTGTTCTGTATGTTCCCAACCTCCCAGCTTTCTTGTGCTGCCTCCAACTTTCTCTGCATCCTTCCTGAATCTTCTATTCTCATAATTTAGCGGCCAAAGGGCGATTTCTTGAACATATTTAGGATGTATCATTTCTCCGTGACATTGTAGCAAATGTCTACAAAGCAATTCAACATTCCTGGACCAGGGTGTCCTCCATGAAAGCCTACCATTAGGAGCTCCCCCAGCAACTGATCATGAATACCCTCCAGTCTGAAGGACTCCCTTTTCCAGCATCCAGGCCACCCCACTGGGTGCTGGAAGCTTTATTCTCCTGGTTACTGGTCCTTCCTGTACTTTTCCTGCTCCTGGGGTCCCAGCTTTATCCTTCTCTCTTCCTTCAGTGGAGACTGCTCGCTCTTCCACCAGCCTTCTATGCTGCCATTCTTTAGACCATCAAATCTCTTTTCTAATATTGATTACTCTTCACACCCATTGTCAGTACCTTATTGTGTGTGGAAGGAAACCTTTCCTCACCAAGAGCGAGACTGAAAACAGGCGGAAAAGCCCACGTTTGCTACATTCCCGGGAGCTGCCAGATTGCACAACCTGGGAAATTAGATGGGCGCGGAGAAACAGCCTGATGTTCTGGATGCTGTGTTCTGGCCAAGGGGCAATTTCCCAAATCTCAGGGTTTTGCTTCATACCTGGCTTCCCCGTCATTCCCCTAGCAAAGCGTCAGTATATATACCGTGGGCACCCCTCGCAGGCAGGAGGGGTGGGCAGCTCAGCTTCACCAGGAGCCTCCTTGGAAAGCAACAGCCAAAGGTGAGGTACTAGAACTTTCCAACACTATTTCTCTTTGCAGACTCCCGTTCCCCACGGCATTCCTGTGCTGTGTCCCAGCTCTCTGCTTCCTTCCTGCATCTCCTAGCCTGACAATTAGGATTCAGCAGATGTGAATACTTTCTGGGACTGGGATTTAGTCGTGCACTTCCTCGGGGAGAGTTCAGGGATGGGTAGAGCAGGCCTTCTGCCAAGGTTTGTGCATTGTTTCACTCATCTCATTCGACAGACTGGTATATGGTCACAAAATGCCCAGAGGCCTCTTTGGAAGCTTTCTGTACAGTGGGCGTCAGGGCTCACAGGTGATGACTGAAAGAGAAAGTGGTTTATGTTAGAAGCGCAGTGCAGTCTCTCATACTGGGATTCCAATGAGGCAGGTGGAAATGGAGACGTGGACCCTCTGGAATTCTCTCTATGTATCTACGTATCACCTGCCTAATATATGTATATGCACTGTCTACTTCTTTCTACATACACACACATACACATATATGTACATACAGGGGTGTATATGTGCACAGATGTGTGTGTGTGTGTGTGTGTAGATCTACAGATAGAGATACACTGAGTGTGGCTTAATTTTGGAATACAAGAACGGGTTAACGTTACTCCACGAAGTAACCAATCGAAACCAAAACTAAACACCTATCATCTTTGTGTGTCTCTTTGACTCTGCAGCAGGATGAAGCTTTTCCTGGGCATCCTCTTGGGCTCCCTGGTCCTGGGCGTCAGCAGCCAAAGGTGGTTAACCTTCCTCAGGGAAGCTGGTCAAGGTAAGGCCCAAAGCATGGGGGTCGGGGGAGGCTGCACCTGCCCTCCTCCAGGATTCCCCAGAGCAGAGGCCACATCCACACAGCGCAAAGGCCGCAAGTGGGACGCAAAGAAGCATGGTGTTCAAGATAGCAGTCTCCCAGGCTTTTTATTTTATTTGTTTTTTAACTGAAGTATACCTGACATATAACATCGTATATATTTAAGGTGTAGGTCATGTTAATTTGATGCATTTATATGTTCAACCCAATTGCCATTGTAGTTACAATTAGCACCTCTGTCATATTACATAATTTCCCTTTCCTTTTAGTCATTGAAATACTTAAATTCTAGGCTATAGCACATTTGATCATTATAATACAATATTGTTTGGTGCTCATTATACTGTGCCTTAGGTCTCTAGGGCTTACTTACTATGTGTGGCTTTTCCCCTTAAAGCACAGGTGCCCTATCCCTCCACCCCTGGCTTCTCTGGGTGGCAGCGCACTCTTCCATGGGGTCCCCAGGCTGGAGGTCACATAAGGTTTGGGCCTCAACTTGCAGTAGGAGCAGGAAGAGATACATGTGGGGTCCAGGGTGCCTGCTCCCTACTTACAAGTGGGACTCGAGTGCCGCCTAGTGGGAAGTCAGGGCCAGCTCATGGCTGGGTCTCAGGCGGCCAAGAAGGGGTGCCTCAAACTTGCGCACTTAGTCGTTCCATCCAAGATTAACGGAGCTTGGCCCATGCTAGGCACTGTTCTAAGAGCTTTACAGGGATGAATGAACTGGTTTCCATTCTCAGGTTTTAATCTGTAATCCTGCAATGTAGGCACCATCATCCCTTAACAGAGAACCTGAGGCACAAAGAGATGAAGAGTCTGACAGAGTCCTCAGCAGAGCAGGGTTTACCCCCGTGGTGGAGCTCCCCAGACCTTGCTAGGACAGGACTGTCCTGCCTCCCAGAGCAGAGAGCGCATGGCCGACTGCGGGTTTCAGAACACACAACCCTCTTGTTTATCTGAGTAAATGGCAAATAGTCAGGCTGTGGGAGAGGCGGAAGGCCCCTCTGCAGAGCTCCTCTCCCTGCAGTAAATGGCACAAGGATTCCATGAAGGTGGTTCTGCGGGCCTGAGACCTGGCTGGGCAGGAGAGCAAGAGACACGCGCCTCAGTAGTCAGACTCAGCGGCAAGATTTGTGTATTTCACAAAATCATTTTTCTTTTTCTTGTCTTTTCCTTTTTCTTTGTCTGTGAGAGTCACTGATTACTGACTTAAGAGTTTGCTGTCAGTCCTTTCTAAATTCTCACAGGCACCGCTACAAATGTGTTTCCATCTTTAGGTCAAGGTTTTTCAAAGGGTTGTTCTAGGACCGCGTGCATGAGAATCACCCGGGGTCTGGGGTGCTTTGTGAAACGCAGATGCCGGGTGCACACACTCCCCCTCTGCTGAATCATCATTTCAGGGCTGAACCTGAAATCTGGCCTTTACCAAGCACCCCAGTGGCTTTTTGTGCCCACTCAAGCTTGGAAACCACCGCCTCCCGTTTTGCCCCCACAGGTGACCAGTACGTCAGGGATTTTGGAAGGACTTCCTAAGCAAGGGCCTCCAGGCATATATTTAAATCTGTAACTTGAGGGAGTAAGAACAGTAAGAATGTCGTACTGCTCAACAAGGTGATATTTTTGACCACTGGAAAGAATAAATACATAAAATGAAGAGAAGGCATCGCATGGGTGTTACAGAAGTTATGATTACAACTCGACAGTAGATTTTTCTCTTTTGCTTATTAAGCTACTTTTTGAAAGTCTTCATTTTATTGTAGCCTGATCAGATTCCTTCAATCCGTAACTCTGATTTTCCTCTTAGCTTAGTCCCTTTACTGTTTTTGTCACAGCCTTCCTAAGGCCCAGAGAAGTGATAGCATCGTGAGCACCTGCAACCTTCTAGAAGTTATATGTGTATTTTCTCAGTGTGTCTGCATAACCACTGTGTGGAAGGCAACACTCTTCAGTTACCTGAGGAGAGCACTGAACTTTAGAGCTGGGGGTAATTGCCATTTTTCTGCATTTGATGACCCCATTTCTGTGAAACTCTCTTGGGGGGATTCACCTTTATCACCTGATGATTGAGTTCTGACAGTCTCCTGGTGCCACGTATGCCCCAGACATTCCTATGTACACAGAACTGAGTCGTCTTCACGCTGCCCACAGCGCTGAATTTCTCCCCTTGTCTAGGTTGGGAGCCCTCTGGGTCAGCAGCCTCCCTCAGACTTGCCTTTGTCTCACACCCCAGTCAGAGGGTCCCTGCCCTTCCCAGGTAGAGGTTCACCGCACAACGAAGCATCCCTTAAAGACCATCCCACCTCTTGTTCATACACATCACACACAGCCGAAAACCAAGTAGCAACAGTACTTAGAATGGAATCAAAGAGAATAAAACTTGCACCCGGTGTGATTCTCCTAACATTAACCTTGGGGAGTGAAAAGTAAAGGAATATTTATCTCAGCCAGTATAATCTCAAAGGTTTTTGTCAAAAGGCTGAAGTCTTAGAAATATTGGGAGGAAAACTTTTCTCTATTTTGCCAAGAGATGATCACTTTCATTTTCTTTCCTTTCCAGGGACTACAGACATGATGAGAGCTTACTCTGACATGAGAGAAGCCAATTACAAAAATTCCAACAAATACTTCCATGCCCGGGGAAACTATGATGCTGCACAAAGGGGCCCTGGGGGTGCCTGGGCTGCTAAAGTGATCAGGTAACAGAGCCCCTGGGGATGGAGGTATGGGTGAGCATGATTTCCACTCTCCTCCATGGGTGCTGGTTACCCAGCACAAGGAGATACGCCAGGCTGAGTTGGGCTGTACCCAGAAATGATCAGTGTTTTAGCATCTCTAAACTTGGCCTCTTATAGTTTCATTTTCTTGGAAAGAGGAGAGATAGGAAGGGTGGAGGTGTTATTAATCAGCCCCTGATTAATCTCTTCCCTGCTTTCCTCCATCCCAGCAACGCCAGAGAGAATTCTCAGAGAGTCACAGACCTTTTGAAGTTTGGAGACAGCGGCCACGGAGTGGAGGACTCGAAGGCTGACCAGGCTGCCAATGAAAGGGGCCGGAGTGGTAAAGACCCCAACCACTTCCGACCCCCTGGCCTGCCTGACAAGTACTGAGCTTCCTCTTTGTTCTGCCCTCAGGAGATGGGCTGTGAGTCCCTTGAGGGTACGGTCACCCAGTCACTGAGTTCTCTGTCCCCGGAGGCTGGTGGAGGGCACCTAATAGATGTCTAATAAATGCTTGAAGAGATTGTTGAAAAGTGTGTGTCTCTCATTCTTGGGTGTGAGGACTGCTCCTTTGTCCCCAAGGGGAGGTGGATGGACACCCCCGTGCGGGTAGAGCCCGGGCCCCTGGGTTTGGTGTAGGGCGACCATCTCAGCATGACACAGGACAGACGCCCCGCACCCACCCCTCCCCGATCAGACCAGCTTCCCCGTCCAGGCCCCTCTGGTTGCTCCGGTGCTATTTCCAAGTCCTTCCATGTCCAGGCCCCTCACTGCCGTCCGTGGGATCCTCTACCTTCTCTGTCCTCAGCGTCTGGTTCCCTTTGTTTTGCTCCTCAGTGGTCTCTGTCCCTGGGGGCAGGGGACCCAGCCGTGGGAGGACAGGCTCAAAGGTGTTGCCTGGGGTGCATCCTGGAGACAAGAAAAATGAGCAGGCCTTTCAGATACAAGACAAGTACCACCAGGGCTGATGCAAGCAAATCATGGAGACTGGACAGCCCAGAGGTTAGAAGAAGCTAAGTAGTAGCCCGGAAGGAGGTGGGACT